AAATTAGAGACATTTATAGCTAAATGGATGCACATTGAGGCGATACTCTTAAGTGAAATAAATAGGACACACGTGTGTAAATACAGAATAGTTTCCCTAGTGTGAGAAACTGAAAGTGTGAATAAGGACTAAAAGGTATAATAGATAATGTGAAATAGGAAGAAAAGGTGCAAAGGGGAAGGGGAAGTCGGAGGGGTAGGGGAAAGGAGAGAAGGGAATAGAATTAATATGAGAAAAAGAAAAAATGGAACAAAGTCTTTGTAGATAGGGAAGGATGGAGGGGCTGAAGGGAGGGCAGGGGAATGGGGAAAAATAAGAACCAAGATGGATTATGTAAAGGTGCAAATTACCAACGATGAATGTCATTGTATTGTATACCTTAAATGTACCAATGAAATTATTTTTTTTTTGGTACCGAGAATTGAACTTGGGTCCTTGTGCTTGGGAGGCAGGTGGCAGAACCACTGAGCTAAATCCCCAGCCCTATCAATAAAATTAATTTTAAAACATACAGTTCTGCACACCTTGTTTATGGAGCCCAATAGCTTCTTGGTTTTTTTACAGCATGCCTTGTTTATATGGTACGGTAATTTTTGCTGATTGTACTATACAGTACAGTAGTGTAGTTTTATGCTCTATTTTGCATCACAATTCTGGATGCCAATCTTATGCAAATAAAAACAAAGTCATCAAGTTGGAGTTTCCTTGACCATTTCTTTGTTCTAATTATTGAAGTGTACATACTCTATACAATTCCTCATTTAGGGACCCATTGACTTAGTGACTTAGTCAAAGGACCATAACTCAATTGTTAAACAAGAAATACCTACTAGATTTGCCATCATTGTTTTTGCCACGAATAATTTCTATTGTAGTGTTTGCTTAACACTATTATATTTCCAGGATTCTTTCTACACTTGAGTAGTCAGAGAACCCACTTGATTATGAAAGCACAAATTCAGCTAAAAGTGTAGATGCTAATGGAGGGACCGTTAGAAGGGGATGTAAGTAGGGTTGGTATGGGACATGACCTGGGTGGCTGGTGGCTGTATATTTACCACAAGCTTAATTTGCACTATGTACTTGAGAAAGCTCTTGTGAAATTATTGTGTACTCACTATGCACCCCTCAGGCCCCTGACCTCTCCTCACCCCAGGAGCAAAGGCTTAAGACCCTGATTGGCTCAGATTACACCCATCGGTGAAATAGTTACTAACAGTTATTTTTAGAAACCAGTTTACCCCTATAAATATGAGGAAAGAAAGAGAGAGAAAGAGGAAAATACACAATGATAGTAAAAGATTTCAATATCCCTCTTTTTTGTTGTTTTTGTTTCATTATTTTGAGGCAAGGTCTTGTTATGTAGTACAGGCTGGCATTGAACGCACTTCATAGCATAGGTGAATTCAAGGCAATCCTCCTGCCTCGGCCTCTCAAGTGCTGAGATTACAGGCATGTTCCACAACACATGGATCCTCTTTTAATTTGGTAGAAAAAAGAAGATTTTACAAGTCAATCCACAATAACAACAGGAAAATATTTATTGGTTTCAAGTGTATATTGAAGAATATTTTCTTTTTTATTACTGCATACTTTAATTAATTTCACCCCTTTACTCCCTCCACTCATCCCTTTCCTCTCCTCCAATTGTATACTTAGAATGTTTTCACAGACAGATGCATAGTCTGAGCCACAAAACAAAAATAAATGGAGAAAGAGAGACAAACCAGACCACAGAGGAGAGATTCGAGAGTCATGGGCCCTCAGCCTGAGAAGGATCAAAAAGAGGCAGAGGAGAGCAGACTTACAGACAAATACTTCAGTAAAAAGAGTCCTGAGAGACATGGTAAGGGTCACAGAATTGAGTCCAGTCCTTATCTTCCCAAGTATACTTTACATGATATTACACTTCCTGAAATGTTATTGTATAAAAAGTTTATGTCTACCAAAGTCCTAATAAAGAGTCCACAATAAACCAAGCTGATATTGCATTCTATTCACATCCCATGAAAGTATACTTCAGAGTGTTAAAAGCTCTGCAGAGTCACTCAGTAGACAAGACCTTTTGATAGTGAGTAGAACACTGCTATCCAGTGTACCTTGGGTCTTTCATTCAACCATTTCATCATTGTCATAAACGGGGGGTTTTTGTATGATGTAATGAGAAACATTTATTTTAAATAAATATAAGTGATGCATAACATACCCTATTTACATCACCTACAATAAAGCAATAAATGGAGACTGGCACTGAGATTTCTGTGTCTAGGGCATAAAGATTCAAGGGAAAGTGTAGCCATCTATGTACTATGGACTTCCTCCTGGCTAAAGTCAGATTTCAAATCAGTAACCCAGTGTGAGATTCAATATAATCTCTAAACTTCATATTTTGGAAATGAATAGTGATACAGAGTTGAGACAAGAGAGGCTTATAAGGTGATGGGCAAATGAGTGTTTTGCTCTAATGAATGAAACGAATTCATTAATACGAAAGTGGGAGACTTATGACTGACATAGGCTTCTTATATAAACAGTACTACTTGTTACTTGGCATTCAATAATGTGTAGTGGAACACAAAGGATTTTACCTGATTTTTGTGCCATGCTCTTAGAATTTCCAGCCTCAAGATTTGTCTTTTATTTCTTTATTAATTTTTCTATGTGTAACATTCTGACATAAGAATGAATAGACTAGAGAACTCATATTCTTGAGCTGAATAAGAAAGCAATTATTCCCATTCAAGATGTCTACAAAAGTGACCAAGTTGGGAGTGGGAACTTCATAGCAGGCTGAAGTTGGGTGCACAGAAATCATTTAGCGAGGGATAATATATCAAAGAATGAAATCTCCATATGGAGTAAACCTCCCACTGCAAAGACTGAATACACTATCTGGAGACAAACATACATTTCAGGACTTGGGACATTATTCAATGTCTCCATCTTCAGCTGCTTCAAGAAAACCAGGGGCAATTCAAATGCACCTTAAAAGATCCTTATAATGATTCAGGAATCTAATGTCCAGCCAAGGTCCTGCATGTTAGAAGCACTCCCTTTCTGTGTGTATGATTACAGGGCATTGGGTGAAGGCTTGAAACTTTGATACTATTGTTGGAGGACTATTGCTGATATTCAGCATACATACTTAAATCCAAGCCACAAACACGCAGAAGGACCACCGAAGTGGGAAATGACCCATTACATCTCATGGGTTTTGTTGATTTTGACAGAGGAGGAGATCAATGAGCACACTACTATATACTAAAGAGTGAAGTGTTGGATAAGGGTAAAAAATGAGAAAGTCAAGCTGTATTATTTGGAGAATGTAAAACTCCTTAATGGATTGGGTTTACAAGCAGTCAGGAATAAGAGGTAAGTGAGAACCCATGGCCACGTTGAAATCCATGTCCACTTTTGGAAAAGAAATAGGAAGAATGGAATTGCATTTGAAAGTATATTGCACTGGGCTGAATCTGAGGTTGAGACTTGCCATCACACTGTGCAGATTCTATGCATTTCCTTTAATGATCTCTTAAACTGTCTCTTAAATACTCTTATTCTCTCCTGTATGCAATTTTTGTCTGTGGTTCTGGGACTGTGGCTCCTCAAAAAAAAAAAAAAGAAAGGGGACAGTGATAAAGATAAAAATCATTTTATGAGCATGGAAAAGACCTTTTCTGGTGTACTTTAACTTTTATACTTGCTTTGCAGGATCTCAAAATTAAGGGTGAACTCTTGGTGAAGTATGAAGCTTGTCTAAGGGAGTTGGAATGTTTGCTTTTCTTTCATCTTTACTCTTTTGCAGAATATTGCTGTCATTTAACCCTAATTTCCTCATTTACACAATAATTGTGTTCCTCTTGGGAGGCATATATTCATTTTCTTGGCTCAAATTGAATAGACTGAGGGAGATAGTGTCAACATCTTGACTATGAAACCAGCTGACTCATTCCCAAATATTGACCTAATAGCCAACCTGCCATCCATTCCATTTTTTCCTATCGTGAACTGCACTCGTGCTGTTTTCTTACATCAGGAGATTGATTCTTCCATAGGACACTGACCATGGAACCTTCTGGGCACACAAGTGACCCCATAAGAGCACACTAGTCCATTGAAAAAACAGGGGCAGCTCTGGAAAGCCAGGAGTAAACTGCTTAAATACAATGACTGTTAGGGAAGGTGAGGTTGACATCGTGGGAAAGAGCCTGATCCAGAAGTTCCTGGGTTACAATCTATCATTTCAATTTGTCCATGCAGATTTATTTCTCTTTTCACTCTTGGCTTAGAGAGAGGTCAATGGAGCAGGAGCCAATCAGCGATAAAGAGGCGGCTGTACCAAGTGTCCAATCAGGGGGGCCAATGTAGGGGTGTTCTTCCGGTGTCATGGCGCTAAAGTCTGTGACCTGCACACGTTGCTTTGAGCCCCTCAGTTTGCTGGGCCACCTCTGTGGCTTCTACTGGCTGCACGCTGCATGGGAAGAACTCCGGGAGACCCTGAGGCCACGCAATGGTGATGTGGGGCCGAAGCGGGGGGGTGAGAGGGAATCGGGACGAGGTCTGAAGGACGTGGGCAGAACCAGCTACGGGGAACTACAGCCTCCCCGCTTAGCTCCAGACCCTGAGGTTCTCCTGATCTTTGGTGCTTTTGTCCCTTTCTCCCTGTGCCAGGTCAGAGTTAGTTCCAGGTTCCTTGCATCCTGTCTCCGCTGACAGTCCCAGCCCACCTTGGCGTTTTGGGTGGGACCAGGCACAGGCTCATCTACACCAGTCTGGGAAGAGCCAGAGCGGGTGTTGGGGAGACCCTGATTCAGGTATGGGTTGCAGCCGGGTGCAGCTGTGATGTGCTAGGTCCCTGGTCTCATTCCTTTTAGTAGCAGATCCTGAAGACCTGACACTTATAAATGTCCGCAAGGCAGGGTCTCATACCCAGAACTCATCTCCTCAGACCTTTACCTTTTTTGCTGGTTTGTTTGTTTGTACCGGGGATCGAACTCAGGACCTTGCGCTTGCAAGGCAGGCGGTGGCACCACTGAGCTAAATCCCCGGCCCCTCTTTGCCTTTTTATATTGACAGTGAATTCCTAAATTTCCCACCACTCGGGGGTCTGAGGCAGGATTGCGAGGAGTTCGAGTTCAGCCTGGCCTACATATGACTTTAAAATTGGAAATTTTGTCTCTGTTGTTAGCTTAAAAATTGGGCAACATTATCTAAGTAGAATGGGAAGGGTGCTACACTGGAGTAGAAATGATTTCAAAGTATTTTTTATGGTAGTAGGGTTTTGGCCCAGGACCCCCCCAATATTGGGGGGGTACCAGGGATCGAACTTGGGTCCTTGCGCTTGCAAGGCAGGCGGTGAAACCACTGAGCTAAATCCCCGGCCCCCTTCTATATTTTTAATTATCATCATTTTGAATTTTGACACAGGGTCTCACTACCCTGAGCTTGAAGCTTTTATCCTCTTCCCTCAGCCTCCCAGAGTGATGTGATCAAGCACAATTCTATACTGTGATCACCGTGTTTGGTTAAATTAAACATCATCAATTATTTGTTTTTTATGTCAGGATTGTTGTAAATGTTTTCCATTGTGAATGTGTGGATGCCATGCTGAAAGACATCCTTGGAACTTTCTTCTCTGTGAATTTGAGGCTAGTTATGTGTGTGGTATTTTTTTTTTAATGCAGGAGAGAACCTAAGATTACCATAATTTTTCAAACAGTAGAAGTGTCCATCCCTTTTATCATGAGCCAATTTGACGCAGTGTATTCATTTCTGTTAATGAGGTGACTCGGTGTGCCACCCCTTTATAACTTCAGAGTGATGCCTCATAATGAAAAACAACATCACCTGCTTGGACACCAATCTTTACTTGAAACGGTATACGAGAGGAGCGCTCTGAATTTGTCAAAGTTTTGGTCACTCTGGGTGGTGCACTGATTTGGGGCCCACCATTTTTTGTTGAAGAATTGCTTAGTGCTCAGCAAGCAATAGATGTTAGGATGCAAAAGAGAAATTGGGAAAACACAAAGGTCAACCTTCAACTGACTGTGGGTGTTTTGTCTCTGCTCAGAATTGAGACTGAGGACTTGAAATTTCACTCTGTGAAAATGGATAAGGAAGTGAAGAGGCCTCAGATTTAAATCACCTGACCTCTCGTATTTCCCTGCACAGTGTATTGTATATAACTTCGGGAGTGTATTCAACCTCTGAGTATGGGTTCTTTTGTGAAACAGAGTAAAGCAGCCTTCATCCTTAACCAGCTTCCCTTGTGTTTTTCTGCACCAAGTTGCTTGTATAAAATACAAGTTATTTTAATGACTTACAAATTTATTTTCGTGATTTAACCATAAGATTATGATTTTTCTAGTTAAAAATGGAGTAGAGAATTGACTACATCTGATGAAGCAAGGAAAAATTAAGAAGTAATTTTTTTGTTGGTTTTTTTTTTTTTTTCTTTGAGAATAGGGTTGCACTAGTTCAGGCTGACCTTGAACTCATTGTGTAGCCCAGGCTGGCCTTGAACTTGGGGCAATCCTCCTGCTCAGCCTCCCAAGTGCTGCAACTACAGGCATGCACCACCATGCTTGGTTTAAGAGCAAAAAAAAAAAATTTTTTTTGGATCGGCCATATGTGTGCCTAACGATCCATAGAATCAGGATGCAAGTGAACAAGCTACTTAGGGTTATTTCCAGTGCGTCTCTGATTTTATCTAGCTACCCGCAAGGTGAGCACAGGATGGATTTTCAGAAATCTTGGACTCAAGCAAAAATGTTATTTGGTTTCAGTTCTTTGGAGTTTTGAATAAGTTAATAATTGAGGTTAATATATCATTATCATGGTGAAAAGATTATTCATGGTTTTTTTGCCTCAATTTATTGCTCATAGGATTATAGGGAAATTCATATTTCAGGTACTTCACTCCCTTATTCCACTGCCTCTGGGCTGGGGTTATTTCAATTTGGCTTTTAAAATTTTTTTTTGATGCAATTAAAGTGCTATTATTGATTTTTGTTCTGCAAGTGCTTAAGAAATTAAAAGTTTTGATTAAGAAAAACTACTGGCATGCAGATAAAAAAATTCAAAATTTTTACAAAATATTCATATGAAATTTCCATGTACTATTTTACAGATAACAGTTTCATTGTGTTTGGCCAACATGTGGGACAGTTTTTTAATATTTGTCCATCTAATATATGTTACTGTATTTTTGTGGTTTTATCTTATGTTTATTACATCAAGTGTTGAACCTTTTTCACATACGGACTTTTAGCTTTTTTTTGGTAGCGGGCATCAAACTTGGGGCCTTGCGCTTGCGAGCCAGGCAGTGGAACCACTGAACTAAATCCCTGGCCCAAGCATTCTTATAATTTGTGCCACTGTGAAGCCTTTGTTATATTGTAAGATTTATAATTTCTAAGCCACTTATTTATACCTGATACCTAATTACATGGCAGATTCTTTTACATAAAGCTAGGGATATATTCTGTGGTACATTTTCTTAGTAATTCCGTTAGTTTTTTTGTTGGTACTTTAATTTTTCCAACATATACCATGATGTTATATGCAAGTGAAGCCAATTTTATGTATTCCATCTTAATCTCTGGATATTACTTTGTTCTTTCTTGTGTTTTGTCTCTATCCATTGATGTTATTGTGCACAGAAGATTGTACAGTCCAGCTTTCGAAGTACATACTTGTGTCTTCCTGATCACAAATGAAACAGATTGTGATTTCCTCCAGAGACACAGAACATCAGCTCTATCATGAATCAGTATTCTACATATATGTGGACCCATTGAACACTTTCTTTCCTGAAATCCATTTGTCATTCTATCTACTAATAGTAGAGTCTTGTGAAAGGTGGAATTTAAATGTCTTTCGTGTATATTCTTTTCTTTTGGGGGGGGGGGCACCGAGGGTCGAACTCAAGACCTTGCACTTGTGGGCAGGCACGGTGCCATTGAGCTAAATCCCCAGCATCTTTCATGTATATTATGTAAAATATCAACCTTCTCACTTAAAATATATTGAATGTTGTTATATTTTTTTATACTATACAGCTATAAATTTTTAACAAGTTAAAGGTGTTATTCGTGACAATTTTTTTGAAGTTATCCTTTTTAGGAGGGGAATTTGAGGCAGCGTCTCACTTTGTATCTCAGACTGGCTTTGAATTTACTGTGTAGCCAAGACCTTGAACTCCATGGCAGTCCTCCTGCATTGGTCTTCCGTGTGCTGGGATTATGCACATGCACTACCACGCTTGGCTGAAGTTTTTTTGTGTGTGCTTAATTATTTTGTTTTATATATTGGTTTTCAATGCATACAACATATTTTATTCATCTCTTTCCCCTCATTACTCTCCCATATCCAACTATAATTTATTACATCTAAGTGCTTGCTTCGGCAGCACATATACTAAAAAAATTTATTATATCTAAGTGCAAGGTGACTATTTGGTGACACTGAGGTATAAAATTCAATGCCTCCCTTTCCCTATTTTCAATATTCATAGACTTGTTCCAGTAAAACTTTTTCCATTAACATTTTAATTATCATTCATAAACATTATTTGATGTTCAATTATTTTTTTACGAAGCCAAATTCAAGTTTCAAAATGCTGACTGAGTACAGTCAAAGGAAGAAGGACTCAATGACATGAATAAGATTTGAAAAGAGTTATTACCTGTGGTCTAGCAAAACCATTCACTGATATTCATCGGCCCCAGTGTTATTGGGTGGTGATCTTGTAGGCTCCCTCAGTGAGCTCTGTTTTAGAGGCAGTGCACAGGTTCCCATGCAGTGACCCAGCAGGAGGACCAGTGCTCCTCTTCTGCTGTTGCTTTAGCAATGAGTGGCACAAAATTGCTATCTAAAACAATGTGCATACACATGGGATTTAATGACCAAATATTAACAGAGTTAATATTTGAAGGATGCAGCTGCCATTCAGCTTTTTGTTTTGTTTTGTTTTCTATTTTTGAGATAGGTTCTCACTATGCAGTTCAGGCTGGTCTTGAACTCACTGTGTAGCCCATACTAGTCTCAAACCCATGACAATCCCCCTGCCTCAGCCTCCTGAGTGCTGGGATTACTGACATCCACCAACACACCTGGCTCTCAATTCAACTTTTTATGAAAGGAGTTGAGATATCCCACACTATGAGTCTTAACCTTCCTTCAAGAAACTTGTGTGTGATCATTTAGGAAGCAGTCATCTTTGAAGATGTGGCTGTGAATTTCACCATGGAGGAGTGGGCTTTGCTGAATCCATCCCAGAAGAAGCTCTACAGAGATGTGATGAGGGAGACTTTTAGGAACCTGGCTGCTGTAGGTAAGGATGACACCACTTTCTCATTAATTCAGTCAGAGAACATTGTTGCTCATCCGTGTAGTTTCATTAAAAAGAATGTGAAAACTTTTTTTTTTTTTGGTGGTACCGGCGATCGAACTCAGGACCTTGCACTTGCAAGGCAGGCGCAGTGCCACTGAGCTAAATCCCCAGCCCATGAAAACATCTTTAATATCTCAGGCCTGGTTACATTACACCATGAATCTAACTGGAATCAATTCATTTTTAGGTAATAATATAGTATCTCCTTGTATTTCTATGTCTATAATTCAGGAAGACCCTGGAATAACCAGAAAGTTGAAGAAGAGTTCAAAAATTACTGGAGAAATCTAAGGTAATTTGCACTCAAAAGGAAAAGGAATGTTCCTCAAGAGGGAGTATGAGAACAGAAATATCAGTAGCCACATTCAGATTTATTCAGTTTTACAAATATTCTCCAAAGATGTATATAGTTTTACTATGTATAATCTGACAACTGAATAGATAAATATTTCAGTATAGAAAACTGAGTTAGTCCTGATATGCAACAAGTGACATTGATGTATATGTATAAAAAAATGTTTTTTCATAATCACTTTCATGAAAATGTATGAAGTTGCATTTAGGTATTGTGTATAGGTGTATATGAAAAGAAATGAATTTTGAGTTTTGATAGAAATCCATCTTCAGGATATCTTTGTATACATACGAATATGAAACATTCAGTGTCTAAAAAAATTGCTAGCCTTGAAACAGTATTCAAAGCACAAATGAATACTAGTGTTGTAATGACAAGTATTTTCAAGCCATTTTCCAGAGAAATTAAAATTCTTAGAAGACACCCTCCGTCATTGTTGGTGGGAATGTTAAGGTTAGCAACTATGATAATCAGTATACAGACATCTCCAAAAGTAAAACTACTTCCATTTGACCCAGAAATACTTCTGGGTATAGTCCCAAAAGACTTAAAATCATCATGCTATGCTGATACATGCATACCCATTCTCAAAAGAACAATTTATAATAGCTAAGCCCTGGAATCGGCCTAGATGTCCATCATTGGATGCATGAATAAAGAAAATTGTTGATAGGCTCAGCGTGATGGTGCATTCCCCGCACTCTGGGAAGCTGACTCTGCAGGATGGCAAGCGGAAGCTCAGCCTGAGCAACTTAATCATCAAAGAGACTCTCTCTCAAACTAAGAAATAAAAAGCTGGAGATGTAATTCAGTGCTAAGACCTGTGTTTAATTCCCAGCACTGAAAAGAAAAAGAAAAAATGTGCTATACCATTGGCCATAAAGATGAATGATAGCATGTCATTTGCCAAAAAAATGGGTGGGTTTTCATCCTATAGTGTTGGGTGAAATAAGTCAGACACAGATGTGAAATGTCACATGCTTTCTTTTAGATGAGAAACCAAAAATATAAATTGAGGAGTAAACTTTAGGAGAAGCAATTAGAAAAGAAAGCCCTGACTTTTTACAGATGGGGAAGACAAATGGGGTAAGGAGAGAAGAGGGAGAGTGATGAGGGAAAAGGTACCAAAATGATCAGTATGTGATATATATGTACCAGTTGCCCAAAATGAAACTAAGCTTTCTAGGTTGTGAAATATGCCAATTTAAAATTGCCAAATGAAAACTACTCTTGGGAATGGCTGTTTTGAAGGTGTCCTCCGGGACATTCATGATCAGAATTTCTCAGGAGGCATCGAAGCAGAACTTGCGGTAAATCATTAATATGGAGACCCATTTTATCGCAGCTGTCTTTTTTTTGTTTTCTTTACAGAAATGAAGAGGTAGAGAAATGCTATCAAAATAAAGGTTGGAATCAATGTGAAGAAATGTTCCTTTGGACTCCAGTTGCTAATGTGGACATGAAACAAGCTGCTTTAAAACCAGCTGAAAGCCTTGCCTGCAGGAAGCCCCTGAGTGAGCATTTGTCCCTAAATGAGCCCATCATAGCTCACGCTGCACTGAAGACCTCTGGGTACTTGGGATCAGAAGGGAAGCTGTATAAATGGAATGCGCGTGGAAGAACCTGCGGTGGATTGCAGTCCTTTCAAAAGGATTCAAGGACAAAGACTGGAGAGATACCCTATGAATATGATCAGTGTGGGAAATCCTACTCTGATCTTTGTGAAAGAACTCACCTTAGAGAGAAGACTTTTATATATAAGAAAAATTTGAAATCCTCCAGCACACCTAGTGGTGTTCAGATCCATGAAAGAAATCAAAATCTGGGGAAACCCTATGTATGTAAGCAATGTGGGAAAGCTTTTACTACACAACATTACTGTAAAATACATGAAAGAAATCACACAGGGGAGAAACCCTATGTATGTAAGCAGTGTGGGAAAGCTTTTAGAACACAAGGTTATTGTAAAATACATGAAAGAAATCACAGAGGGGAGAAACCCTATGTATGTGAGCAATGTGGGAAAGCTTTCAGTAGGCGTCAACATCGTAAACAACATGAAAGATACCACACTGGGGAAAAACCTTACGCATGTAAGCAGTGTGGGAAGGCTTTCAGCACACACAGTTATTGTCAAATACATGAAAAAACTCACACTAGGGAGAAACCCTATGTATGTAAGCAATGTGGGAAAGCTTTTAGTACACAACGTTATTGTAAAAATCATGAAAGAACTCACACAGGGGAAAAACCCTATAGATGTAAGCAATGTGGGAAAGCTTTTAGTACAAAACATTATTGTAAAATACATGGAAGAATTCACACAGGGGAGAAACCCTATGTATGTAAGCAATGTGGGAAAGCTTTTAGTACACGACGTTATTGTAAAAATCATGAAAGAACTCACACAGGGGAAAAACCCTATAGATGTAAGCAATGTGGGAAAGCTTTTAGTACACATGATTATTGTAAAATACATGAAAGAATTCACACAGGGGAGAAACCCTATGTATGTAAGCAATGTGGGAAAGCTTTTAGTACACAAAGTTATTGTAAAATACATGAAAGAATTCACACGGGAGAAACCCTATGTATGTAAGCAATGTCGGAAAGCTTTTAGTACACAAGATTGTTGTAAAAAACATGAAAGAAATCACATGAGAGTAACCCTATGTATGTAAGCAATGTGGGAAAGCTTTTAGTACAGAACACTGTAAAATGCATGGAAGAATTCACACAGGGGAGAAACCCTATGTATGTAAGCAATGTGGGAAAGCTTTCAAAACACATGTATTGTCAAATACATGAAAGAAGTCTAACTGGGAATAAACTACATTTAAGCCTATTTTGAAATCCTGTGAAAATTTCTCATGTAATGGAGACCTATAGGAATAATACAAAAAATTAATTAATTTTTAATTAATACAAAAACTTGATGTCAGTATTTCTCCATAAAGAGATAGCCTAAAGTACATACATTATGTGTTTTTCAGTAAATCACTTAAATATCTGGATGATATATCTTTGGTGTTTAATATAAAATACAGAGTTGACATAATTAGGTATTATTGCTTTTTATTGTTAGGATTTTACCACTACCTTTCTTTTTATTTTTGGTGTATACTTTGTATTCTGTGTAATAAAAGGTATTTTTTAATTGGATGACATTTTGTATTAAGACATGCATTTTCAGAGACTTGTGAACATGTGTTTTTGACAAAGTTGATTTGTTTTCACACAATTTATAGATTAGCACGTTGTTTCTCATATCGTGACAAGACTCCTCCTTGTAGCCCAACATTGTATATTATATCTTGTACATAATTTTGCCTATTTTTCTTATTTGAGCCAGTATTATCATTTACATAAAATTTTGTTTTCTTACCATTAAAATCTTATTTTTCTTGTTTATATTGCAATGACTTTTAATTTGGTGGTAATTTTTCCACCGTATGTACCAAACATAACCCAAACTGCTGTGAGTTTCTGATTGCCACAGACCAGCAGGACCATAACTTCTCTCCAAAAGGATATCATGAATTATAGTAATCTCTCCAAAATTATAAATGATGGCATGATTTACAACACTTTCAACACTTTAAGTCACAACACTCAAAGGAATATTTGTCAGCAGTGGAGTTTGTTTTGGGGAGAATGATTGCTATTGAGTGTAATGAGGTAAATGCCTTTATTCCCTATGCTGTAATGCCAGTCTATCTTGTAATTATTATATTGAGACAGGGTCTCACTGTGTAGTTCAGGCTGGCTTTGAATTCATTATGTAGTCCAAGCTGGCCTCAACTCATGGTGATCCTCCTGCCTCAGCCTCCCAAATGCTGGGATTACAGGCCTGCACCACCGTGCCTGGCCATCATTATTGTTTTTATCTAATAAGCTGAAATAATGGCGTGAAACAAAACCTAACTCATAAGAGGTATCAGTCAGTTTTGTAAAAAGTGGAATTTAGTAAATTATGATTCGAATTGTGTTTTTTCCCAATTTTAGAGATACATTTTTACAATGCTATGTTTCATTCATAAGGACCACTGTCTGATGTTTGACATATGTGACAAATGCCTTCAAACGCACTGACGAGTCCAAGGTGTGTGCATGAGTCCTGGTTGGTCTTGTTTGATCTGTATTTTTAACTATCTTTTCAACGTTGAAATATTTTATAAAGTGTTTTATACAGTGTTCTCAAATTTAAAAACTCAATTTCTGATGGGATTACATTGTTACAAATTGATGGTGTCGTGAAAACATAAGTGAGTGATTCATTTTTAAATACCCATAACGCAGGGAACATTATAGCTTGCCCTAGTCTTAATTATGCTTAGACACATAAATCACCAGTTGTGTAATTATTTCTGAAGTATCTGTTATATTTCCTGAAATATAATACACTGCAGAGTACAGTGTCGATTTTTACCCACTACAACATGTGCCCAGCTTCCCCGCAGCAAATTTCTTCTTACCATCACTAGGAAGATATGCAATGTGTACTGCTGTTCCAGCTTGTGATGGAATATTAGAACTACACAATGTTTTCTCCTGAGAACATTTACTTTTGCATTATGTTACCATGAAAAACATCTTGCTGGGCTTGGTGATGGATGTTTGCGATGTCAGCAACTCCAGAGGCAGAGATGGGAAGAAAGCAAGGTTGAGGCCAGCCTGCCCGACTTAGTGAGGTCCTGTCTCGGAACGCATGGTGAGGTTCTGCAGATGTAGCTCAGTGACTAGAGACGCGTAGGTTGGCTCCCCAGTATCAAAAGTTTAATAAAAACCACTACACTTCAATGTTTGTCCTTTTCTCACTTAATGTATAAAGGTCTAAGCCAAATGTGATGATGCATTTCTTTAGTCCCAGCATCCGAAGAGGCTGAGATAGGGTGATCTTGGCTTTGAAGATGGGATTGGAGGGCGACTTAGGAAGATTTCTTAGCAAACTGAAACAGTTCTCTTTATATATGTATTTTAAGTTTAAGGAAAGAAACAAGCTTTCATTAAGAACATAGACCTAGGATGGGATTAAAAAATCACTTGCAAACCATGGTTCTGTGGCTCAGGAAGTAATCTTTTCATGGTAGCATTTGTACAGCAGCCATATATATGGCTGCGTCATAGATTAAAACATCAACAGTGAAACATGAATAAGACAGGCATTCCTTGATCTAAATATGGAGACATGAAAAAAATAGTTTTCTCAATCCTGTTCCTGGAGTCTTTGGAGGAAAATAAGGTGGAATGACACAACAAAGAATTACATAAAATTCAAAAACTGTACAGACATGGAAGCAAACAACAGAATGAAGAAATAACCTGCAGAATGGGAAAATGTTTTCTATCTACTCTTGGCAGTACTAATATCTAGAAAAAAAACAGCCAACTGAAATAAATGCACACTTCTCAGAAGAAGTACAAATTGTCAACTTCAGCCTCATAAAAATCCCTACTGTGTCAGCAATATACCTGCAGCTCTGTCTTGCCATGCTCTGTGTGACTTTAGGAGGTCATGAGGAATTGTCAGGCTGGGCAGGGTGTAAGGATGGGAAAAGATAAAGTTCCTGGGTCCTCAGAACCACTTTGTTTCAAGGGCAGTAGTGATTGCCCTGAATTTTTTAGATGCTTAGGAAGCAGAGCATCAAGTTCATGACATATGTTTAGAGCTAAGAGCTACTTGAAAGCTGGAATTAAATCCCTGTTTTCCAGATCATTCACACATTGTCAAAGTCATTACAAAGGGTATACACAAATACATGTGGCTGGCGTTACAGAGGAAGTGGAGATTTGTTGCCATCTCTGATGTAGTTATTGTCCTTCGGCTGTTTGTTGACATTGCTTTTAAAAAATCAATCCCGACTGAGTTAGGGCATGAGCTTATTTGAAAGGAATATTGAAATAGGGGGAACTATCCAAATGTAAATGACAGCACCACCCCCGCCCAGTCGGATCCCTGCCCAACCAGCCCTGCTCCCTGCATCCACAGGAGCAGGGATAACAAGAAGCCAGCAGCCCTGCTGTTCTCACCACCACCCTGTTTATCAGTGATCCCCAGGCCCATCACCCAAGGAACTCTAAAATTTTCCACTCTCTCAACCAGGGCCCCTCCCCTACCTAAAATGCCCCATATAACCACGTGCACCCCCTTCTCAGTGCCAACGGCCTTCTCGCCCTTGGTCCATCTGCACCCAGATGGCAATAAACCCAGATCGCACATTGCTTAGACTTTGCCTGCCTCGGTGGTCTCAATCATGCCTCAGTCTGACCTTACAGAAAATATTGTAGAGAGGTAAGTTAACTAGATATCCTGTAGGCAGTTAGGGCCTGTCTTCGAGGAGCCAACATGGAGGACAATCTAAACACATTCACTGAAGGCCAGCATTGTAAAAGAAGAGAAACTACCATACCTGTGTGCTTCCCCTAAGGATGATAGCAGTGATTGATAGTCTAAGTATCAATCACCTGGGTGGGGGACCAAGACCTTACCCACCCCTTCCAGGAAAGATCCCTGACTGAAAAGCCTTGTGCACTTCTTACATGACTTGCTTCCCCACTGGATCCCCATCTGATCAATATTACCTAGGTGACTATACTTGTCATAATCTTATTGGTTGATCATAGTTTTGTCCACCTTGTGATTTCTCTTTGGATCATTACCTAAGTGGCTGTACTTGTAATCTTGCTAGTTTTTTCCCACCCTAAACCCGCCTCACCTCATGGATTTGTTCCCTATAACACCTTTGAGAAGCAGGATGAGCGGGTAACCCATTTTCCAGTCCCCCTTCTGTCTCTCCTAGACAGAAGCTATCTTTCTCTCAATAAAGTCTTCCCACTCTTAACCTCCGTTTTTCCTAGAATTCATTCTTCGATTTTAGAGAACACAAACTCAAGCTTCAAATATCTAGCAGGTATGGAGTTACATCTAATCCCCTTATATCATAAACATCTCAATCATTAGATTAAAAAGGGAGAAAAGAAGAGTCAAAGAAGCTGGGAGACAGGAGATGATAAAGGCGGTGACATGCCTGATGGATAAGGCCGGTTCCAGCAGGCATGGCAGGAAAACACTGACAAGAATAAAGACAGTAAACCATGTCCCAGCTGATGCAGTTCCAGGAAGCCTAATTACACCTGCAACCACCGCCCAACCCAAGAAACACGACCGGCTCTGTGACCTCCGAGGGGCTGGGGCTGGGCTGGTGCAGAAGAGGCTCCCTGCTGGCTAGCTCTGCACAGCCACACCCTCTGTGTCGCAGGGGTGGCTAATGGGTACCTGGTGGCAGTGAGAAACTGCATAGACAAAATATAGGGCTGTAGTTAAAACCTTGTCCTTCTTGTTTAAAAGATTTTAATTATGGGAACGACATTTGGGGCAAGTTACTCTCACCTCAGTACATAGGCTTCAGCTGGGCTCACTTCCAAAACAGGCCAATTGAGGCATTAACTCTTTTTTTTTTTGGTACTGGGGAATCAAACTCAGGACCTTGCCCTTGCGAGACAAGCAGCGGCACCGCTGAGCTAAATCCCTGGGCCCCAGGTGTTGACTCTTTACAGCCTGCACTGCTTACAGCCTGCTTTAGGCATAATCATTATTGTGGCCCCCTGCATGCTGAGCATAGCTCCATGACCCCTACTACCAAGCCACATCATGAGCTGCTGGAACTACTGTAGGCTGGGTGGCTGACTACATCCAATACAATCTCCTCTGGGCTCAGGTAGCAGCGCAGGGAACGGGAATCCACTCACTGGGGTACAGAGCATGAAAGCTAGCACACGGCTTTGTCTTGGAGCTCAGTGCTAGATTCTCCATAGTGAGACCCAGTGGAAACTGAAGACTCCCTCAAATAGGCCAGAGCTCACATACAGAGACTCCAGCTCAGCCCCAGTATCAAGCAGAGACCTGTGCATCAGGAGCACACACTCAAGTTTTGGGCGGCATCACTTCCAACCTGGAGTGGGCCTGGAACACATGTGCCCTTCCCCCAAGACAGTGCAGGTGCCTGTGGCTGTTAAGACTTGGGGGTGACTCAGGTTATCATCCTTGGAGTCCAAGATACAATCTCTATTATCTATCCCTCAACCATGAGCAGCCCAGTTATCGCCAGGCCATTGTGCACAGATGGGACTCTAGAACTGCCTCAGTAGCAGGTGAAGGCTTGTGCACCAGTGCGAAAGAGTCATGTTTTAGCTTGCATCACTTCCAGCTGCACCATAGCCCTCTGTCTGCCCCTGAGATCGTGCAAGTCCTTGTGGCTGTGAGAGTCAGGCATGATCCTGTTTAACTTTTGCCCAGGTAGCCAAGATCACCTTCACTAAGACTACCATGCCATGGTGCAATTCACCATTCACTATGGATAGGATAAACTATCAGGAACAAGAATTCTCTGAAATTAAGTGCTGGGCTTG